TACGGGACTAGGCTTTTTGGTGATTTTTTTTGGTTCTTGAGGCTTTCTGAATGGGTGGGGTTGGAGAGGGAGAAAGGAATAGAATTTACTGGACCATGTGGGGGAGTTTGGGCAAGCTGGGGACTCCAACTGAACATTGCATATTGTTTTTTATTTAATTGCAGAAAGTCTTTACTTTCTTAATTTCTGTCTGTGTATGTGTGTTTTTAAATATTTATTTATTGTTGTACATAGTGTTCTGCCTGCATGTACACCTGCGGGCCAGAGGGGGGCACCAGATCTCATTCTAGATGGTTGTGAGCCACAATGTGGTTGCTGGGAATTGAACTCAAGACCTTTGGAAGAACAGCTAGTGCTCTTAACCGCTGCACCATCTCTCCAGCCTTTCTTAATATCTGTATTGATCCATTTTTCATTCAATAATGAGTTGTTCATTTTCCATGGTGGTCAGATAGGCTGCAGGATATTATTTCAGTTTTATTACATCTGTTGAGACTTGCTTTGTGTCTGTGGTCAATTATGAAGAAAGTTCCATGCGGTGCTGAGAAAGAAGGTCTTGTGTTTGCATGAAATAATATGTGAATATCTGTTAGGTAGATAGCGTCAATTTGCTCTAGCATGTCTCTGTTTAGTTTTTGTCTGGATGACTTGTCTCTTCATGAGAGTGGAATGTTAAATCCTCCCACAAATGGTGTGTGAGGTTAACATGTGATTTAAACTCTAGTAGCATTTTTTTTTTTGAACTTGGGTGCCCTTGTATTTGGAGCATAAATGTTAAGAATTATGATATCCTCTTGGTGGAGTTTCTTTTGATGGGTATGTACTATTCTTGCCCATCTCCTCAGATTAGTTTTGGTTTAAAGTCTACTTGGTCAGGTATTATAATGGTTATACCAGATTGCTTCTTAGGTCCTTTTGCTTAGGATATCTTTCTCCATACCTTTGCTCTGAAGTGATGTGTATTTGTGATATTCAGACGTCTTGGTTGTAGAAAAAGGAAGGATCCTGTTTTCCAGCTGTTGTTAGTCTGTGTCTTTTTACTGGGGAATTGAAACCACTGCTGTTGAGAGATATTAATATCCAGTGAGTGTTGATTCCTGTCATTTTGTTGTTGTTAGTAGTGGGAGTGGCTGCGGTGGCACTGTGCCTGTGTGCATGTATGCATGCATGCGTGTGTGTGTGTGTGTGTGTGTTTTCCCTTTTTGGATTTTGCTGGTCAGGTATTATTAACTCCCTGTGTTTTCTTGAATGTAGCTAATTTCTTTAGGTTGGAGTTTTCCTTCTAGTTCCTTCTATGGGGATGGATTTATAAATAGATACTGCTTCAGTTTGGTTTCATCATGGAATGTTTTATTTTCTCCATTTATAGTGATTGAAAGTTTTTATGGGTATAGTAGTCACGGCTGGTATTTATGGTCTCTTAGAATCTGCACCACATCTGTCCAGCCTCTTCCAGCTTTTAGAGTTTTCAGTGAAAAGTCAGGTGTAAATCTAATAGGGCTCCTTCTATATGTTACTTGGTCTTTTTCCCTTGCAGCTTTTAATGTTTTTTCTTTGCTGTGTATTTTTAGTGTTTTTATTACTATGTGCTGAGGGGAATTTCTCTTTTGGTCCAGTCTATTTGGTGTTCTGTATGCTAAGCATCTCCTTCTTTAGAGAGATTTTCTTCTATGGTTTTGTTGAAAACATTTTCAGTGCCTTTGACCTGGGTTGTTTTTCCTCCTTCGTCTATTCCTATTATTCTTAAATTTGGTCTTTGCATAATGTCCCAGATTTACTGGATGTTTTATACCAGGAGTATTTTAAGAGTTCACATTTTCTTTGACTGAGGTATACATTTCTTCTATTGTGTCTTCAGTGCCAGAGACTCTGTCTTTCATCTTTTCTATTTGCAGGTGAGGTGTACTTCTGTGGTTCCTGTTCAAGTTCCTAAAATTTTAGTTTCCAGATTTCCCTCAGTTTGAGTTTTCTTTGTTAATTCTATTTCCACTTTCAGGTCTTGGATGATTTTATTTATTTCCTTCCACTGTTTGTGTTTTCATAGATTTCTTTAAAGCATTTATTCATTTTGTTTTTCTTTAAGAACCTCTATTATATCCCTAAAGGCTGTTTTAAGGTCTTTTTCTTGGGCTTTGGCTATGTTGGAATACTCAGGATGGTCTGTGGTAGGGTTGCTAGATTCTGGTAGAGTCATATCGTCCTGGCTGTTGATTGTGTTTTTACACTGGCGTGTAGCCCTCTGGGATTGAGAAGATTGTAATTCTAGGTGCAGATGACTGGTCTTGTCTTTGTTGTTTTGTTCTTTGGTTTCTGTTTAGTCTCTGGTTCTGAGGAGTGTGGTGGCTGTGTGTTTGCTGGTGTCCTGCTAGGTGTGGTCACTGGAGCTTTCAGGTGAAATGTGCTTCTGGGTATTGGGAGCTAACACTTAGGAATGAAGATGCACTGTGGGGTGGCATAGAGGCTCCACAGGAGGGAGGAAAGTAGAGTGTCTCACCAGCATCTGTTTATTCCCCTGGGACTTGTGGGCAGAGAGAGAAGAGGCCACAGCAGAGGGTCTGCTACAGAGCTGTGGAGTAGACTGGGGGATTGGCCTGAGAAGGATGGAGGGAAAGGTGAAGGGGTGCAGTTGGCCGACTTTCTTTTCTGGTCACTGGCTTGTGGGTTCCCAGAGAGTGCCTGCTGGAGCTGGGGCGTGGGATAATGCAGTGTGTTGGAGGGAGGGAGGTCAGATGGAAAACATGTGGGAGCCACTGGAGATGAGGGAGTCTGCAGCAGGTGATCTGCTGGGGATGAGGCTGGGGGGTTGGATTTGGAGGAGCAGGAGGAGAGGTGAACATCTGCAGTCAGCCCTCCTGCTTCCCTTTTATAACTGAGGAAATCAAGGCAGAGCAGAGTTAAATAATCTCTAAGATTTAGTGAATGGTAGGCTGGTCTTTGAACCTAAACAATCTGTCATCTGCCCTTTGATTTTGAATGACGGAACCCATCATTTGAATTTCTTCATGTTGCTTTGCCTGCCTCTTTTTCCTCTTTATACATTGAGCCTGGAATTTTGCTGAGGTTAAAGATAGTAAGGCAGTTTATCTTTTATCAGAGGAGAATGCAGGAAAACAAATGAGCCATTCCTGCACATTGAGCTGAGAAGACGGTAAAGGAGAGGGCCTAAGGTCCTGTGGAAAAATTCCAAAGTGAGGAACAGCTGAAGAGGGAGAAGACAGCCTTCAGGAAGAGCAAGACTGCAACAAAAGGCCTGAACCCAAGCTGGAATTCATCAGGCTGACCCAGGTCTGTGGACGTAGTTAAAAACTGCTGGGATGCAGGGAACATGGGCTCCGAGGGTTACGTGATGCAACGTTGAAAACCCGGAAGTCCGATGAGGGACCTTGAATGCCAGCCTAGAATGGCTGACCTTCTGGAAGGTCAATGGAAGAGGAGCCCTAGAGAAGTCCAGTGGTGCTGCAGATGAGGAAATGGATCAGATTAATTTAAAAAGAAAATCCAGGAGCGTTCTCAGGGATAGATGGAAGGGGGTAGGGGCCCTCTTGTGACTTCAGGTGATTCAAGGATGTTTCAGTGACTCAGACAAGACCCCGTATTGCTGGCCTACGTGTATGTGTGTTTGAAAGGCAAGGAACAGTGTAACCAGAGATGCAGCCAATAATCTGGCTGGATAGCTTTCACTTATAGCTTATCCTCATGCTCTGGTCCAGGTTCTACACACCATCAAGAGGCTAAGCTGTTACCTGCATCCCGTCTCCCACCCTGCATACTCACAGGGTCATGTAGAAAGATTTGAGTATTCCTCCCAGGCCTGTGGTAGCACCTGCCTTTAATTTCAGCATGCAGAGCCACAAGCAGACAGACCTCTGTGGGTTCAAGGCCTCCTTGGGCTACATAGCAACTTCCAGGTAGGTGCAGCATAGGGCAATCCCATAACCTTTCAGCACATGCCCTCCTTGTTCTCTCCACTTGGACTTGCCTTGGATTGTGGAATTGGTGCCAGACATCCTTCATATCCACCCTCATCTTCCATTCCTCCCCTTTTCTAGTCATTACAAAGGAATAGCAGCCATAGAAAACAGTGAGTTCTTCTGTTCGAGACCCTTTTCCATCGTGTGCCTACATGGAGCTCAGTAGGCACACTGAAAAACAGTGTGAAATACGGAGCTGACGATAGCTGACTGCAGAGTCCCACTCCCTCATGGAGGGCAAGCTTATAGAAGCTGCATTGCAGTGTCCCATTTTCAACCAACTTTTTACTCAGAATCCAGTATGGACTCCGTGGAGTGCCTGGAAAACAGGACTGTGTCATGCATCTCGAAATATCTAACCCTGTTCCTTGCACAAGGTGGCATGTAGTTGGAAGGCGAAAGGAACTGAGGGGGTGTGTGTGTGGGGTTGTTATTAAGAAGAAATTAAGTAGTTCTATAAGGTGCGGTGCCAGATGTGGAAGAATGTTTGTCCCGCCTCAGTCTTTCTTCCTGTAACAAGAATAAAACTACCATCTTATTCTGATGGATGACATTTCCAAAGACCTAATAAGAAAATATTTTTAGAGACCACCACCTTTTACAGTTGTCATAGGCTGAACTAAAGATTACCGCGTGAAAAGGCTCTGAAAGCCACACACTCGGCAAATGGATACACCCAAGTTCTATACATTTATCAATGGAGCGAGCAGCTCTGCCCTTGGGCTGGAAAGCAACTTTCTCCTCCTCAGGAGGACCAAGGCGGGGCCTAGACTCCGGGGATAGTTCAGGAACGTTCTTGGGGGCGTGGCCAGCGCGTCCCGGGGGCGGGGCGTATCCGGGGCGAGGCCTCGCTCGCACACTCGGGCGCAGTGCGCGTCGGGGCCGCACGGGGGCGACGCGGGGCAGCTCGGTTCCGCCAGTCGCGGAGCATCCGAGTGGGCGACGGCGTACTTCCGCGTCCGGCCCCGCGGCGTCGGGCGGCTGCGCCGAGGTCCTGGCGGCCGGCGCAGGTCAGTAGGCGGTCGCCGCTCGGCCCCTCGGTGTGGAGGCCCCGGGCGTCCGGTGGGTGGCAGGCCCCGAAGCCTCGGGGGTGGGAGTGGGCTTCCCGAGGGCATCCCGGCCCGCCTGTCTTAGGACAGGGGAGCCCTGGGCTGCGGGTTCCTGCGTGGACCGAATCAGGGTTCTCCGGTCCAGGAAGCCCCCGGTGGGGGCCTCGTGATCCCCACCCTTCCGGGTTTTGTCCGGCTCGGCGGAGGGGCGTGAGGCCCCTGAGCTGGCTTGCTCAACGCGGAGTCGGCGCGCGCATCCCCGCCGCTCAGACTTTTTGAATCAGACCCCGCTGCGGCCGGGAGTCTGGCCCTTCAGCAGACGTCCTCGACGGTTTGGTGCAGATGGGCCTTCGCACCACAGAGGCCTCCGTGGCTGCATCCGAGGAGTGCCACCACAGGGGCTAGCCTTGGGCTGCGGTCCCCAGATGGCAGCAGATAGTGAGTGAAGGGCCTAACTCAAGAGCCACGGAGGTGGAGCTGTGTTAAAGGGATGGATGGTGTGTGGGTGCATCCCTCAGAACCCGCAGCTGGGCCCTCAGGTTCACCTGGCTGCTCTGGGTTGTGAGCGGCCCCACGGCTTACTCACAGGCAAGTCAGTGTGGACGCCACACACACCAGTGAGGTTTTTTTTGCCCCCCCCCCCCACTGTTCCCATGTGTCAATGGAGACAGTAATTCTTGTATGATAAAGTAATGTCTGTCCACCGTGTCTGCTAACAGAGTAAGCATTCAGTAAATGGGATTTATCGAGAATGATACCGCCCTTTTCTTGGCCTTATGGGCAAAAAAAAAAAAAAAAAAAAAAAAAAAAAAAAAAAAAAAAAAAAAAAATCTGTATAAGAGTTTGTGCAAGGATTCCAACTTTGCACGGAAAGATCTTGCAAGAAATAGAATTCTAGGAAGCACGTAATTAGTGTGAACCCGTTTGGTCCCACGCCTCATGACTGAATGGTGTACCTCATGACTGATTGCCAGGTCTTTAAGGCAGCGAGGGCACGCACCAGTAAGTGGTTTTGAAGGCCTAAACCTTGTTGGGTTCCTAATGGATTCTGTCTGTTGGCCTTCCTTAGATTCTAATGCTCTGCTCTCATTTTACTGGTCAGTCAGGAACACTGAATTGGCATGGCTGTAATTGAATTTGGCAGCCCTTTTAAGACTTGCTACGAAAGTATAGATTCTGCGGGTTGTCAGTGGAGAGAGTATGTTTTTACAGCCCATTTCAGATTCCATAGAGAATAACAGTCTTCAGAATGGATGCAGAAACTTTGAAAACTTTCCCCAGAGCTTTGGCCGTTTGTGAGTGAAAGAGCCTGATGACTGACAAGTTGTCACTTGTAGATCTAGAACACTCTGGCTACCTGTGTGAACAGAATTCACTTTTGAACATTTTATTTATTTTTGTGCTTACCGGTGTTTTGCCTCTTTCCCTGTGTGCCTCGTGCATGCAGTGCCCACCGAGGCCAGAAGAGGGCATTAGGTCACTTGGAACTGGAGTTCCAGACCGTTGTGAGCCATATGGTACTGGGAATTGAACCTGGGTCTTTATTGGGAATAGCCATGCTCTTAACCACTTGGCCATCTCTAGCCCTTGGTATGAGTAGACCTTGCTTAATGAATGTTTTTTTTTTAATTTAATTTTATTTTTTTCTTATCAGTTACATTTTATTAACTCTGTATCCCAGCCGTGTCCCTCTCCCTCATTCCCTCCCTCTCCCTCATTCCCTCCCAATCCCACCCTCCCTCCCTCATCTCCACCATGCCCCTTTCCAAGTCCACTGATAGGGGGGGACCTCCTCCCCATTCATCCAATCCTGTTTTATCAGGTATCTTCAGGACTGGCTGCAAAGCCCTCCTCTGTGGCCTAACAGGACTGCTCCTCCCTTGGGGGGTGGGGAGGTCAAAGAGCCAGTCATTAATGAATGTTATATTGCTTAGTTATGCAACTACTACAACTTAAAGATTACAGTTTTCCTTAGTTTCTACTCTTCTGTTTCTTTAGTCTCCGAAGTTTAAGTTCCTCAGTGTGTACCTTAAGGGAAGTTTTGTATGATTAAGTATAGTGCATCATGCTTTTTATCTGTTACCTTAATTACTTTTCTGGAGATCTTTGGACCATTGTTACCTCCATTTTATAGATAAGGAAACAAGAAAATGAAGATAAGCAATTTACCTAAGAACCCAGAGATCGGAAGTGGCAAAGCCCTGTGGCTCTCCATGTTATACTCTGGTCTCTACAGTCTAGATGGTTCCTTCAGACTTGTTAAAAAACATACATGAGTGCCAAGGATCACAGGGATACCTTACCTTTGCTTTACATGGGCCTGACCATGTATTATCTTGTATAACCCTTTAAACTGTCATTTTATCAACTGTGATGTACAATTACTGAATACTTAAAATCCTCGGACACAATTTTTCCCGACAATTTTTGTCCCAGATGTCTTTCATAGTATGTGAAATAGGATCTATTTAAATCATATTAAATATATATCTTATTAATTTGTCTTCGTCAAGGTCAGTGATACTTATTCTTTGTTTTTACAGAGGTCTGGGACTGCGATTATTTTGAAGTTTTTGAAAGTGTAAGGCCAACTTTTAGGTGTCCGAGGGAGCGATGGCAGGCCGCGAGGCAGAAGTGCTGGATATTCTTCGGCTGAATGTGGGTGGCTGCGTTTACACGGCCCGGCGTGAGTCTTTGTGCCGCTTTAAGGACTCTATGCTGGCATCTATGTTTAGTGGCCGCTTTCCTCTAAAAACAGATGAATCCGGTAAATGTCTAAAGTCTGGACATTAGGGTGGGAGTCTATTTTAAACTCCTTTTGATTTTCTTAATTGTGTTGGAATGTATTATATTAGCCGAGTTCATTAGGACTGTATGGAGATTCATTAAGTACATAGAGACATTAAATACCAGTTTCTAAATTTGTGGTGCCACTCCTAACGTTATAAAGGAGCAAATAAAGGCCAACCATGGCCAAATGATGAAGATTAGCTGTACTTTCAAAGTCTCTACTTTCATGTGACATTACGGGTGATGGTATTGAGGCTGGTTATATATTAGCATCTCTCCGTGTTCTTCCCTGGAGAAGCAACCAAACTCATAGCTGGCAGATCATCCATTGTAGAGTCAGTGCTCCACTCAATGCTTGCTCTAGCCATGCAGTTTTGTGTGAGCTGGTATGTGTGATTGAGAAATGAGGTTCACATTGTGGGTCATTGAGGAGCAGAGAACTACATGGTAAAGTTAAGGTTCTGGGGTTGGTCTCTTTCCTTTGAGTACTGTGGCAGTCACAGAACCTGCTGTGGATTGCCAAGAGGGTGTCAGACAGCTCTGTATATTTTTTCCCCTGTGTGTGTAAGCCCCAGAGCAATGGGCTTCTATGTTAGAGGGGAGGGATGGAGATGTCCTGGGCATGAAGAAACTGCCTTGCCAACAACTGATGGTTGAAAGCAGAGAATAACCCAGTGGCTGTACTGAGGGCTTGACATCCACCTGGAAGAAAGTCTGTTGATGGGAGGAGCGAAGCGGAGACTGAGTTCCATTCTCTGCTCCAGTTTTATTTCCTGACTTTTCTAAATACCAAGATCTGTGTCCATTACTGCAAGAAAAATAAAAGGGTATTGGAGTGGGGATTGAACTCCTCGATAACCATTACATCAAGGTCTTTTTCTTTTTAATTCTGCTAAGTCGTCTTAAGAAAAGTCTCTCATCATGTGCAGTGCCAGCATAGCATTTCTTGTTTTTAAAAATTACTTTAAAATGTTTGCTTTTGCGATAGGACCTCACAGTGTTGCCCAGGCTGGCTTCAAACCTCAGAGCAGTGCTCCTGCCATCACCTCCTGAGTGCTGGGAACTGTTGGAATGTTGCCACTCTTGACAGCATTTCTTCCTTATTTAAAAAAAAAAAAAATCTAGATTCTCACACTCCAAAGGAACTAACCCAAATATAGAGTACAGCTTCCAAATATACTCCCAAAGATAGTACACAGCTAGTGCTAGAGTTCTCAGGCATGTGTTACTGCTAACAGTCAGACAATAGGCATAGGGGCAAGCACAGACACTCTTGCCTGTCCTGGTCCAGCCGGGCTGAGGTGAGAGGTCAGCATCCTTCCTTCCAGAAGTCTGAGCTTTTGCAGTTGACTATGTTGGGATGATAGTGTTGGCATCTGAAGAGCCAAGTGAGCTGCATTTTACTATGTGGGGCTGAGAATACAGAGGCTAACTCATACGGGTTTTTGCTGCTGTTGTTGTGCAAGTTAGAGAAGGGAACTCATTCATCCAGAAGGGTACAGTTCTGAGATAGGGTGCGTGGCTGAAGGCTTGAAGTGTGGGTTTGCTTTGAGCCTCACTTGGCCCCTGGGCCTGGTTCCTGTCTATACAGGACCTGTACAGTCAGGCATGGCGGAAGGCCATGTATGTTTGTACTCAGAATTATGTACAGTGTTCTAGAATGCAGGTGTTTCCCCCCATAATTCAGGGTTAGAACATTACTGCTTCTAAGTTGACGAGAGCCGTGCACCCTCTGCTGTGGCAGGGAAGCTGGAGAAGTGTAGCTTCATTTGGCGGACTGGGCCCACTTCCACACCGTATGTTAACTCTTGTGAGAAAGACGCGTGACTGTAAAGGCATTGGACCCATTTTGGCTTCTTACTGCTCCTCATATGACTCTGCACAACTGTTTTCTAGGGGCATGTATTATAGACCGCGATGGACATCTATTCAAATACATTTTGGACTATCTCCATGGGGAGGTTCAGATTCCTACGGATGAACAGACTCGAGCCGCCCTGCAGGAAGAGGCTGACTACTTTGGCATCCCTTACCCATACAGCCTGTCTGACCACTTGGCCAATGAGATGGAGACATATTCTTTAAGGTCAAATATAGAACTTAAAAAGGTCTTGGCATTTTCTCAAGTTTTAAAATACATTTATTATGCACAAAGCAATATGTTACTGTTGCAAATATGTTATTTTGCATAGTGTGTCACGTCACATATGCCAAGTCTGAGGCAGTTTGTGATCAGTTTTCAGCATGTTTCTTAATTACTTCTTTTCATTCTTATAGGCCAAAATTAATTCTAGGAAAAAAAGCTTTATTAAGTTTACGTACCTCAGTGAAGATGTAAAACTTTTTGATTCTTTTTAACAGAACTAGTCTTCTGAAGTTGTTTTGAGACAAGGTCTTACTATGTGACCCTTGCTGTCCTGGAACTGGCTATGTAGACCAGATTGGCCTTGAACTCACAGAGATCCACCAGCCTCTGCCTCCTGAGTGTTGGGATTGAAGGCATATACCAATATACTTGGTTTATGAAGTTCTTTTTTAAATTAGAGAAATACTATCATTAATGAGGATGGAATGATATTTCATTTTTTATGATAACTTGTTTTTATGTTTTATGCTAAGTAATAAACTTTTATTGACTTAGTGAGTATAGCAGTTTGTCAAGTTGAGATCAGCAAAGCTTTTAAAAAGATGTTTCTATTTTATATCACATTTTAAATATTTTTACACGGCATGAAAAGCTTTGTTATGTATGTCCTATTAATGGGTACTGTATTTGTTGATATTTAGCACATAGAAAAATTATTTCTGTAGGTAGTTGTTGATCCTGAAAGTTGAGATGAACTGATTTGAGCTTTAGAGCTGGCTGTTAGTTCTGGAAGCAAACTGATAGATGGTTGGTTCTTATAAGTGCAGCACAAAATCCCTGTTAGGGATTTGCATGGGATGGATTCCGTGATGTTTCCTACATCTAATCACCAAGTCATAGTCTTGATCATGCTACTTCCTAAGCGGCAGGGTAGGGCTCCAGCATCGCTGGAGGGTTAGAGAGGTCAGCACTCACCTTCTGAGTTCTGGCTCTATAGCTCTTGCCTCCTGGCTTACACTGAAGGAGGATGAAGTGTGCCTGCATTTATTCCAACAGCCAGCAGAAGTTCATTTCAATTGTGACATGTAAGGAGGCTGTGTGGAGCCAAGAAATGGAATCCAGTTCTTGCCCTAAAACAGTATATAGTGTAATGTGGAGTTCTTATATGTGTACACATAATGTTAAAGACCAATAGATGAGTTTGTTAGCAGTGTTAAATGAAAGTGCAAGACATGTGAGGACCCTGGCTTCATTACTGAGTAGGTGAGCAGTAGGAGTCTTCTTCATATCACCTGCTCTCGCAGACACTGAGGACCTGACAGAGGACAGAGCTGACAGAGATGCTTTTCCTGAAGGCATGTAGAACAGCATGCCATTCCTCCCAGGGAAGGTCTTTGCCACAGTTTGGGGAGGAGCTACTTGTATTGTCATGGCTAGACTTATGACATGGTGTGCTGATAGCTCAGGGTGTCTGTCTTCTGCCTCAGCTGTGAATTTGGACCTTTTCTCTTGTTCGCTGTCACATCTGGAGGACGTAAGAGTGCTGGGCAGATAACGGGTAGTTAATATGCAAGCGAGTGAGTAAGTGTGGAAATGCCAGGTGAGTTGTTCAGACACTGTGTTGGACCTCACCATAGCTACCTTGCAGTATAGAACAAGTTCATTTGATCAGTTCAGCATTGGAGTTTGGAGTTCAAAGTAAGGACCAGCTATGGAGCCACCTAATAGAAAAAAAAAATGAAAGTTAAGTGAGAAATTTGAGAAAATATTCTGAAGAAAGAGAAGATCTAACTTGTAGTTACGCTATGAAGATTGTAAAATTGAGAGTGAGCCAAAAGAAGGGGATAAAAAAGAAATTTTGTTTGCAGAAGTAGTCTCTCAATGAAGAGTTGTTGAATGAAGAGTTGTTGAGGTTTTTTGTTGTTGTTTTGTCTTTTGTTTTTGTAAAGGAAGAAAACCTCCAATTTATTATATTTATGTCTGTAGACTATGTTAAAATTCATGATTTTAAATTTCTCCTTTGAGCAGCTCAAATTTTAGCTTGATGTGAAAGTAATCTAGCACGTATATCTTTTATTTAATAATTAAATCTAAGTTTATATATATATATATGTTTGCTTTAGGCTTTAACAGACTTCTGCGAATCATATGGCTTAGTTTGCAATAGGCCAACAGTTTGGGTTCTCCACTATCTTAACACATCTGGTGCAAGCTGTGAGAGTAGAATTATTGGTGTCTATGCTACAAAAACTGACGGGACAGATGCCATCGACAAGCAGCTGGGAGGAAGAATTCATAGTAAAAGCATTTTCAAAAGGTATGTTCAAAATTAAATGTGAAAAAGAACAAAATAAAGCCTAGGTATCTTTTAATAATTTTAAGATTGTTATTGGGTGAGATACTGTGCTGGACTACAAGAGGCTGTGGGTGTGGCTCAGTGCACAGTGCCCTCAGAGCTGTGGGATGGCTGCTTCAGGACCAGGTGAGCGTTCAGACGGCAGCCCTGGGCCTTTTGCAAGATCAAGAACAGTGCTTCTCAGTGCACTGCCTCAAGTTCCAGGACAGGCCTTTTTAGGGCTAAAAGAAAGAAGAGCCACTTGCCTAATATTTCCCCTGGACCACAGTGGGGGCCACAAGCACTAGCCTAGAGTCACCAGGCCCACCGTTTGACCTGGGCCCAGACTCTGCTTTGTTCCTATTCCCTTTCGGATTTAGGCTTCTATGACATGAACGTGTTAACTTCTTAAAGCTGGTCCTCCTGTGATGTCCCTGTAAACTTGTATTGGTCAAGTTACTCAACACATTTTCTATCTTTCATACATTCTGTTGGAGATTGAAGTGGGTCACATACTTGTCAGTATCCAAACCCACAGGAGCTTGCTTTCAGGTGACTGGAAGTATTGTTGTTTCTGAAATCATTGCAGACAGTAATGTACAAAAGGCCTCCAAGCACCTGGCATGATGCTAGGAGAACGTCATAAAAGTTGGGTCTTTTCTAACTAGAGTTAGCTGGCTTTGTTTTATTGGTTTTGTTTGTTTGTTTTTGAGACATGGTCTCACTATATAGTCTTGGGTTGCCTGGAACTCAGATCTGCCTGCCTCTGCCTCCCAAGTGTTGGCATTAAAGGCATATACCACTATGCCCAGCTATGTATAAATGCTTTTAAAAATGTGTTAGAATATATTGATGTATTTTCATACTGTGGAATTGACAAAAACTATCATTAAAAGGTGATCAAATTTATACCCATCTTAGGGTCATAGAGGAACAACGTGGTCTTTAGATACTTTCCCTTCATTATCAAGTATTTATTGAGCGTGTACTAGTTGGATTTATGTAGATACATTCACACATAAATAGTAAATTTTTATTACATTTTTGCAATGTTTCTAGAGAGGCGGGGAATAATGTTCAGTACATTTGGAGCTATTACTCTGTAGCCGAGTTGAAGAAAATGATGGATGCCTTTGATGCTTGGGAAGGAAAAGGTACAGTGAAAACCTTTTATTTCATGGACACGAGTGGCCCCCCTCTCTTTTACTTTTTGAGACAAGGTCTTCCACTATAGTATATCTCAGGCTGACCTGGAGCTTAAGGTGTAGCCTAGTGTAGCTGGGGCAGTCTTCTGCTTCTGCCTCTTGAGTCCTGGGATTACAGGCTTACTTCACCCTGCAGCCAACCTCCAGCCACTTTTCCATAAGAACGCAAAGTGTGAATGTGGCATCTCTTTGTATCTCTGCAGCCCTTGTTTTGTCCCTCCCTCCCCTTTCACCTGCCCCCCTCCCCCTTTTAGGAGTATACCTTTTAAGTGTGCCAGGAGTCTATCACCATAAGGTGATACTGAGTTGCTACATATTACTAATGACTGCAAGTATGGTTCTCTCAGCTATGTGTATTTAATAAATAAGTTTATTAGCCCTGTTGTGTAGCTGGCAATGTTCTAAGTGTGCTTCTAAACTGAACAAAAGATGGATGAAAAGGAGGCTTAGCAGGGAAAGGTGCTTTCACCAAGCCAGGTGACACCCGTTCAATTCCTAGAGTCCACGTGGTGGGAGGAGGGGACTGACTCTTGCAACTTGTCCTCTGGCCTCCAGCATGGACTCTGCCATGTCTGTGTCCACACACATACACAGAACAAAGTCAGTGCTAAAAGAGAAAAGACTACAAATGGAAAAAAAAAAAGACTAGAATTGGTTGGACCTGGTGGCTTACTCCTGTACTTTCAGCACTTAAGAGGCTGAAACAGCAGGCTCACTGAGTTAAAGGCTACCCTGGGCTATATAGTGACTTTTAGGGCAACCTGGTTTAGATAGCTAGATTCTGTTTGGAAAAAAAAAATACTGAAATGAAAATGTGCTAATGCATTTTGAATTATCATTCCTGGTTTTTGGATTAGGAGTGATTTTTACTTTCTGTTTTGGAGGTTGTTTCTGGGGATCAAAACCAAGGGCCTTTGCAAGGCAAGTACTCTACCAATTGAGCTATGTCCCTAGTCCTTGATTTTTACTTGTCTACTTCTCTAGAATTGTACGTTATGTACATTATTTATAGGCTGGAAAGAAAAGGCTGTATACCTTTGAGTATGGTAACTCCAGCTTGTAATCCTAGCCCTGGGAGGCAGAGGCAGGAGGATTGCCAACTCAAGGCCAGCCAGCTGGGCTGTGCAGCAGTGAGCTGTTTGAGAACACCAGGGGTAAAAAGCATTGCCTAAACAAGTTGCAGTGACAAATTCATGCATGCATGTGTGTGTATGCATGCATGCATGTGTGTGTATGTATACCGTGTACACATGTGCATGCACACACATACAAATGCATGTTTTTCAATATATCGGCGTGGAGAAATCTTGACATAACACATTAAAGAAGCCAGACACAAGCATGAATGATATTCCTTTCTGGAGAAGAGAAACTAGGGCTCGAAGGGAGAGCACCAAGTGGGAAGTGGTATGAGGAAACTTGTAGGCATGACAGGTGAATGACTGGTCATTTGTCAAAATTCACTGAACCGTGTCTCTTTAAAAAAAGTAAACTTTTCCCAGCAGTTTGGGTGGTAGAAGCAGGTGGATCTCTGAGAGTTCGAGGCCAGCCTGGTCTACAAAGTGAGTCCAGGACAGCCAAGGCTACACAGAGAAACCCTGTCTTGAAAAACTAGAAAAATAAGGTAACTTTTATTTTATGTAAATTTTATCATAAATTTAACCTGAAAAATCAGGCAAACTTCATGGACCAGGTTTAGGTATGCTTTTGCGGTAGAAGAGACAGGTTTGGGAATAGTAGTGAAATAGTTGCGGAGTGTTGGCCTTGAGTATTGGCTAGCCTGTTATATATGAACTTTAGATGCCCACTTTACTCAGGTGGTCATGCTTAACCAGAACTTTAATGGTTAAAAAGACACAGATCTCATTGTGGAGATCTAAAAGCAATTACTGTAAAAAACCAAATAATTGTCAGGCAGTGATGGCACATACCTGTAATCCCAGCACTTGGGAGGCAGAGGCAGGTAGATCTCTGTCTAGGACAGCCAAGGCTACACAGAGAAACCCTGTCTCCAAAAACCAAAAACCAAAACAAAAAAATACCAAAACCAAACAATTTTTATTGAAGATTATTATTTAAGTATTTTTGGGCACGTGTCTGTCTAATTTTCTGTTCTGACTGAGGTGAAGTCAGATGGTGTAGAATGCACTGGCTTAAAATGTGTGTAGCAGTGGCACTTGCTGCATAGGCCTTGTTCAACAGCCATCAGCTGTCTAGTTCCACAACATTTCATCCTCTCAGAGGGAACCCCAGTGCTCTCCCCCATGCTCTCTTGCAGCCCCTCATAAACTCTGACTTCTTTCTGTCTCAGTGTCTGCCTGTCTTGGATATGTCATATAAATGGGATCATTAAAATATGTGATCTTTTATGTCCAACTTCCTTCACCAGCATAGTACTTTGGAGGCTCATAAGGATATATTTTAAACTTTGCATCAGAAGTGTATCAGATTTAAAACATAGAATGAATTCAGCTAAAATCTTGGCTTGATTATTAGATCAGATTATTCTTGTTTTAAAGATTTAAATTTTTGTGTGTGTGTGTGCGTGCGCCCGTGCGCCTGCATGTATGCAGGTACCTGCAGATGCCAAAATGGTTGTCAGGGTTCCCTGGAGCTGGAGTTTCAGGCATTTGTGAGCCGCCTGACATGGGTGCTGTGAACTTGCCATCGTCTCCTTCCAGAGCGGCAAGTGCTGATAACTACCGAGCCATATCTGGTGACAGTGGTTTGTAGGGTGGTTCACAAATGCAGCCAGTTTGATGGTCACAGTAGCCCAGTGCAGCAGACAGCAGTGGTGTAACCGCTGCTGTAAACATGCTTTCCACTTTTATCAACACTGCAGCTGTCTGTAAAGCACCAGAGGCTTTCAGAGTGCCGAGTCTGTTGTAAGCATCTCGTGTTCATTACCTTAGTCATTTTTTCTTTGATCACAGCAGCCACGCAGGGAGTACATACTGTATGATTAGCATTTCACCCAGAAAATGAAACTCTATGAGGAGAAAAATAGCTTCCCCAAGGTCACACTGGTGAGTGACAGTGGGATCCAGTGCAGGGTCAGAGCCTGTGTCTTTAAGCAGCATACATTCAGTCACTAGAGCGTGCAGTTGAGCCACTCTCTCATCTAGTCAGCCACAGAGGCCTGGCTCGAAGCCAGCTCTTCTTGGACCCAGCTCATGAGCTGTGTCAGTCTACTGTCAGGCTTCTAGGAAGCACTTCCCGTTTCTGTTGTGTACACCTTCGTTCTGGTCATCACGTGAGAGGAACAAGATACAGACAACTCTGGCCAGTCTTAGTTGACAGAGTGTTTACCTGTGGCTCTCTTAATTCTCGTTGTCTTCCAGGTGTAAGCTACTGGCGTGTGCCCCACGAGCTCATAGAGTGCTGGACGTTGGAAGAGCGCCCTTTACATGGAAGCCTGCGCCATATGGCCCCAATTCGAAAGAGGTTATCTGTGATTATATTTTGTTTTAAAATCCATAGTTGATATATTTTTGTTACCATCATACAGGGGAAATGAGTATTAACTCTTGACTTTACTAAGCTTATTAATTACCTACATGAGTATTCTACATTAGCATAAAATATTGATCTCAATAAATAGATACCAAACCTAGGAAAAGGCAGGGGATTATACTCTAATTGTGCATGTGAAGTATGTTTTCATTAGGAGAGTGTGGCTGTAAGAACAGTGGTGGACACTGTGGGAATGCTTTGGTAGGCATTTTTCTCCCACAGAAGTACAATTCCAGGCTTTATTGGCAGTAGTAAAAAAATCTACTGAAGCTTACTACTTAAAATTTCTTGTGGTTTATTCTGAATTTCTTTTCTGTTGCCACAAATAGCATCTTTATTTAATAATATATTTTTGAAATTATTAGCATTACATTTACTCCATGGCTATGTCTTTAGTTTTGTTTTAAGTGGCTGTAAAATTGTACTTCTTTTTTTGATTTTTTTTTCTGTTTTGTTTATTTATTTATTTTTTATTTATTTATTTATTTATTTTTTTGTTTTGTTATGTTTTTTGAGAGTTTCTCTGGGTAACCTTATTTGTCCTGGGCTTGCTTTGTAGACCAGGCTGGCCTGGAACTCACAGAGATCCACGTGCCTCTGCCTCCCCAAGTGCTGGGATTACAGATGTGTATCTCTGCAACTGGCTTAATGTCCCAGTTTTGTATATAGTGTCAGGTGTTTTTGTTTCTCAATCACTTGTTCTGGAAATTTGATTGATAAATGCAGTTTCAAGCTGCTTTTCTACATTTGCTCTTTGGATTGCTCAAAGAAAAGAAGTTGATTGCGTTTTTAGTAAACATCTCTTTGCAAAACATTTTGTTTCTTAAAAGGCATTAAGTGTCTCAGAAAAGACCTCTGCCCAGAATTTTTTGATCTGTTGCTCTCCTTGTGGAGCTCCTGTCCCCTCTAGGTCTTCCTATCTCCCCCTTCTTTCATAAGATTCCCTGAACTCTGCCCAAAGTGCTCCAACCAAGGACCAGGCATGGAGATAATCTAGAACCCCTAGAACCCCTGCATAGATGTAGCCCATGGCAGCTCAGCCTTCAAGTGGGTTCCCTAGTACTGGGAACAAGAACTGTCTCTGACATGAACTCAGTGGTGGGCTCTTTGATCACCTCCCCCTGAGCGGGGAGCAGCCTGACCAGGCCACAGAGGAAGACAATGTAGACAGTTCTCATGAGAGCTGATAGACTAGGGTCAGAGGGAAGGGGAGAAGGACCTCCCCTATCAGTGGACTTGGGGAGGGGCATGGGAGGAGATCAGGGAGGGAGGGCGGGATTGGGAGGACATGAGGGAGGGAGCTACAGCTGGGATACAAAGTGAATAAACTTGAAATTTATAAAAATATAAATAAATTTTAAAAAGGCATTAATTGCATTATCATTTATTTTGTCATTTGAACTAGCAGCAAACATTGAGTCTAAAGCAGTGGTTCCCAATTGGGAAGGATTTTTTTTTTTTTTTTCATACTCCTCCTCTCCAAAGTAATCAGCAATGTTTGGAGCTTTTTGCTTGTGCTCTGTAGGGAGGTAGAAGCTACCGGCATCTTGGAGGTTGAAGCCAGGGGTACTGGCATTTATCCTACTGGCGGCTTCCCCCAAACAAAAATTCTTTTACTGAAATGGTGATTGTACAGAGGTAGGGAGACCTTGTTGTAGAGTCAGAGTGAAGACAGAGACAGGAAACAAAGCAGACAGGAATGGTTGATGGTGATGTCAGTGATCTTTTCTCTGGGATTTTGGGAAGCATCATTTTTTTATGCATAGACAAGATAAATGAAAGTGATATGTAATCATGATCAGTAACATTTTAAAATTGAGTATATTATATGTTAACATTCGTTGCTGTGTATGGAATTTCATAAAACTATAGAGTGTGACTCTGTTTCCAAGGGCAGGTGTTCACCACGCCTCAGCCGTCTCCAGCAGCCGGTAGTACTGTGGCGAGGAAGTGCACTGGCAGGCCGGCTGCCCTCTGTGTGTTCAGGTGGAAAACAGGCTGGAACAGGCAGGACTTTCACAGCTAAGGTCAATTTTGGCAAGTTTTCCCTGTAGGCGGCTTATAATGAATGGTCAGCTCAGCTCAGGAGTCTCTGAGTAATTCGTTCAATCCTTTTCAGATTCAGGACTATTTTTAGCTTGACTGTTTAGCAGTCTCCCCCAAATGTGTCTCATGGCATGCAGATTCTCCTGGCTGTCAGGACGGTGACTGGCAAACAGCTGTAGCAGTTAAATAGGCGCCTTTGCTGAGGCTTGCAGCCTTTCTGTGTCAGCATGGCTTTTAAAGCTCAAGTTGGAGAGTAACATTTATTTGGCTGTGAGCTCCCTTTCTGCAGTTCTTGGAAAAAGTACTGAATATTCTTGATTACCCTGTGCATCACAGCAGAGCTCTCGGGAACAGAGTGATATGTAGTCTAATTCTTACTCAGCACTCCAGACGCTCCCTTGTTGAATTATGTGGGATTTTAAGATACAGTTTGTAAAGCAGCTGAAGTAGTCTTTAGTAAACTTGCCACTTTACAGCCGACCTTGGTGGGGAATGAGGGACGAAGCGGGTAGCTATCTAGAATGCCATCTATAAACATGTTGCCTCTTTTCTTAAGCCTGCATGTGAACTTGGGAGACTTTTATTGGCTACCGAAAGTGTAAGTGCTGAAACGATGCTTCTGTGTCCCCAGGAGGCTGGCGGCCCTCAGCGAAGAGGATGAAGGTGTGAGCTGCAGGGCTGCTCCGAAGCCGGTCAGATTTTTGGGCCCTTCCACGAGCACCCAAATTAAAGTCAAGAATTCGGCTTCAGTCAGGGTGTCACCTGCCAGTGCTGCCCAGATCTCCTCTCAGGCTACAGCAAACAGGTCCCAAAGAGGCAGCTGTGGAAGGGCGGCCCAGTGCTCCGCGGCCACAGGGGCATCTGGGCACGCGCCTGCTTCCCCTGATGCCCAGGGTTCGGAGAACCACAGCACACAGCCGCCTCCTGTCAAAGTGCTCCTCTCTGACAAGAAGTCTCCCCCCAACCGAGTGATCAAGCTGAGAAGGACTCCACTGTGTGTGGGGCCTTCCCTGCCCATCCCCTCAGCAGGGAGCCAGGCCGGCCCCCACCAGCAGCCTTCTCCCGAAGCTTCCAGCACCCTGGTTGTGCAGACTGACAACAGTAAAGACCAGCCTGATGGATAAAGTGACTTGAAACTGTCCATGTGGCCCACAGCTTCCAGCGTGCTGGTTCCAGCAGCGTTCTTGGGGTGGAAAGGGAAACCAGTGTAGATGTTTAGTATTATTACAGGAAGAATGAATGCCGAGACGTGGGAGGAGAGGAGGAGACTTTGTGGTTGGGGTTATTATTTTCTTTCCGTTTTCCTAAGCTTGTCTATGTGCAGTTCTAGTTTTTAATTTTAAGTTTTATTTAAATGGTTAATTGATACCAAGGCAACCAAGCAGTAAGAAGTCTCCCCTTTTTGCAGTATTAGAGCCGCTCAGCCACGTTTATAATGCTGTTCTGGCAGTCCAAGGGTAGGACTGATGTCTGGGCATAGGCGCAGAGGGGCCACCTGTGCTGGCCACGCTGTACGGAGGCCAGGAGAGCTCTCAGATGGAGTGTGAATCCACAGGCTGCTCACAGTTGCCTCTTCTCCAAAGACAACATGAAAAGAAGTGATGGGAAAGAAGAGTATAATTAAAGGTCAGACGTTGACGTTCTGATTGGGCCATTTTTTGTTCGTCGATTGGCACCCTACTTTGTTCTGGTAGCAGCTGTGTCTACACACACAAGGGAAGTGCGTGTTGTAGGAGCTGTAGGGTGGTCTTCAGAATAGTTAAAATACGGCATTTCATGTCGAGCAGTGAAATTTTGAGGTACTTTGGAAAAGAGAAGTGAGTTTAACTTAACTCAAGTTAATTTGTTCTTAGAGGTGACTGTTGAAGAGGTCTTCTAATTATACACTACACTTTATGCATACAATTTCCATATAACTTGAATTTAATATTTTTAAACAAAATATTTTGATTAATCTATTTTTTCATGTCCATTGAATTGTGCGTGCTTTCTCTTACATATTATGTTTGGTAATTGGATGGTACATTTCTGCTTTCCATGAGCACTGTGCTAAGCTAAGTAGGTTTATAGAGCAGGGTGTTCTTACTCAAATGCTGCACACTGCACTTGCATTGCTTTGAAAGAGTGAGGCAAGTATACTCATGATGTTTCTTTTTAAGTAAATAAAACGTTTCCACAAATAATGGGACATTTTCTGTGACTACTTGTTTAAACTTGGGGCCCTATAATGGTTTGAGAGCTTACTAATTTAGGTTTTCTATTCCCATTTCCAAAATTATTTTCTTGTCTTGATAATTCATGAAATAGTAAAAACAACTTCAAAGAAATATCTGTGGATACCTATTTAGGAAGGGGCTTTAACTGAGCAGCCGAAAGGTTTTTAATTGAAGGTGCATAAACATCACCTTTATGATGTGAAATGGGGAACTGAAGGCTGGCCGAGGGGACCTACCAGTGGATTTATTCTGGTTGTGTTGCCATGGATTCTAGATAGAAAAGTATTGTGCTCGTTTTATTTACTGCCTTTCCAGAACAGCATCATGAAGTTTTTTTCTAGTTCTTAAAGATCAAGAAAAGGAAGTTGAACAAGTTAAAACTGTATAATAATGATCATATTCACTCTTCTGAGCCCGTAGTCTGATTGCTGCATAAGGGCACATCAGTTAGAAAGCAGAGGGAGAAATAGGTGTCAAGCTTAGGAATTTGCTTGAGTGAGAAGAGTTTTAGAGGTTGACACAGAAGCATTGGATTATGCATTTGTCTCTTGTGAGACCTCAGGGTTTTTTTTTTTTTTTGTAGTTATAGGTATCTGGTATACAGGAGACCTGTGGTACATTTCCACTCCTCTGGAGGCAGCCCCTGACCACGCATTAGAATGTTTGCTATCTTCAGGAGTGCAGTAGCTCATTTCTGACCTGCAGGGTTACTGCTATCTGGAGAATAAAGAATGTGCTAAGGAACAGTTGCCATTAGTAATCGAGGTCCTAGGGATCCACAGTGATTTAGAGATAACATATCTCCCAGTGCTGGAGTGGGTGGGGCCAGTGCTTCCTAACTTTTGGGAGGAAATAGACGGAGAACCACATCTACTTAAAGCACATCATCTGTGCCTGTCCATAGATCCTGTTTCCTTCTTAGCAAGTGCAAGCATTGAAGTTTAAACACTCAACCTGTATCTGTGATTAAATGTGGTGCAATTATCCACCTATGCCTTGTTTTCTAAAGGAGGGGTCATAAGAAACTTTTGGACATAGCATTTTGAGTATGTGCAAAGGCCCATGGTAGTAAGCTATTCCATAAAAGCAAGGATGTTAACATCCTGAATGGGAGGTTATAAATGATTGTGTTGCGTCTTCGGCTTCTTTGAACAGGCTTAATCCACACTCTGTCTGATGTTGGTTAAACACTAAATGAAAAGTGTGAATGTGATGAGGGAGTGAGCTAGCAAATGATGCACATACATTTAAGTTCACTACGACCTTACTTATGGTAAATACTGTCCCCTCCCCCTCTGTGGAAACTGTCCCTTGAAAGCTGTCAACAAGTTATCATTTCCCTAGTCATTGAACAGTAGATGAGTGAGGCTTTAGTGAGGCTGCATTAGTGCCCAGGATCTCAGGTCTGTACCACAGCCAAGAAAAGAAACATGAATAGCTAACGGGGTGCGGGGGGGGGGGGGTTGGTTTCCAGCTGTTTCTAGAATTACATATTCACAGAAGTTGGTTGGTGGTGCAGCCTTGAAGGAGGCATTTTTGCTTACACTCCTGTCAGCCTCGTGAAATACACGATTTACACTTCCAGAGAAGCTGATTTTTTCTTTTTTTGAATGTGTGTTGCGGTAGACAGCCAATACACATTTCATATTTGCTAGCTAGATCATTTCTGATGTTGGCTGTAGCTAAGACAAATAGAATTTTACAGTAACTGCCAGTCAGGGTTCTGCCCTACTTGTTTATTTAACAGATTTTCATTTTATAAGGTTCCTTTTTAGATGTTAGGCTGGCTTCTTCTACTCCAAAGCTCTCATTATTTTAGTAAAATTCTGCTGAGTTCTGGGTATGAATTTGGGGGTCCTAGAGCTTAGAAAAGAAACTTGTTTCAAAAGCAAAGTGCTTGTCATGGAAAAAGATACGATACTTGCTCAAGTTGGAAAAAGGCAAAAATCGCTTCTGTCAAGGTTTCTTAAAAATGTTGACATTTCTAGTTCAATTCCAAGAATTCACCTCCTAATTTCTTCATTTGGAAGATTTGGGAACCCAGGTTGAGTGTTGATAATACAGAGAGCTTAAGGACATCAGAAATTGCACACGTAGACAGGAAATGTTGGTCCCCAGACAAGTGAGTTGGAGCCAGTAGACTGCAGTAAACTGGAGTCAGTGTGCCCTGTGGTCTCCTTTCTGCTGGGTGGTCTATGTTCTTTTGCGGTAACGGGACCGAAGACTCTGTTTCTAAAGAAGATTTCTTATAGCTGGAAGCTGGGAAGTCTAACATTAAGGCCCACATGTATCACAGGCTTTTTTTCTGCTCTGTCACTTACCTGGAAGCTGAAGGCAGGAGGGTATGAGAAAACAAGACTGAATGGAAAACCTCTAGGCCTTCTGTACTGCCATTAGTGTACTTGTGTGTGGAGCCTTTGTGAGCTAATGCTTCCCCCAAGCCGTTCCTTGCCTCTCAGTGCTGCTGCACTTGGGAACTCCTGATTTTGGAAGACACACAGCACCGCTGTGTAGCACCGCTAGATGTAAGCACAGTGGCATTGTTGACATCTTGGACCAGACAGCTCTTGGTCATTGGGATTGTTCCCCGCACTGGAGGGTAGGTGGTGGCACCTGCTCAGTGATCAGAAATATTCCCAGACTGTTCCAGATGCTTCTGTAGGTGGCATGGGCCACTTGCCCCTGTTGGGAACCATTGTTCTGGCTGGGTGACTCAACCCGAGCACAACACTGACTCTCTTTGTCAGGGGGTATGGACAAGTAAGAACATTGGAGCTGGCAATTGCAGGCAGGAGCGGAACTCCCAGAGGACACCAACAAACAATTTAAAGAATGCCTAAAGAATGCCAATGAGGATTTTTTTTTTTTTTTAATCCTTTGAGTTCCCAATTACATTTCTGGTTGTTTGTGCAATGTTAGAAATATCTATTTTTGAAAAGGGTGTCATAGCCCAGATTGGTCTCAAACGTGATGACTTTGAACTCCGGGTCCTCTTGCCTCTACGCCCCACATTCTAGGATGATTGTGGCTATGCGCCACCACGCTGTGCTTACTTTCAGGAGCACTTCATTTTCTGAGCAAGCCTTTACTTGATAAAAGCTGAAGTGTGGCGCTCCAGCACTCCTCGCTGTTTCCTGACTGGAGGTGCCTCGTGCTGCCACCGCCATGATGGGCTGCACCCTCAACTCCTAAGCTGGAATAAATCCTTTTCCCCTGCAGCTGCCGGTTGGAGGAGCAGAGAAGCAGTTCACACAGAGGATGGGCACCAAGGCACGGTGCAGTTGCAGCGACAAATAGACCTGACTGCTTTGTAGGCCGTTGGGGCTGTGTCTTGGAGAAACAAGTATTTAGGGCTGTAGGCTAGTAGGGCTCAAGCATGTCATAAATCGAATTCAAAGTTGAATATTTCAGGTTTAAAATAGGATGGTTTGTTTCGTTTTTGACATGAAGTACGTTTTTAAGCAGTTTTCTGTAGTTCTTTAGCCACCGTCACACTCATGGTTTTGTGTGTGTGTTGAAATTTAGTACACATTTTTCCCCCCACATAAATTTCCTTTAGAATTTTGTTCTATGAAAGCTGTGTGTGGCAATTTCTCCTGTGAAATATGAACCTAGTGGTAGCTAACCCCGGGGTTCTTCCAGGCTCTGGGAGGAAAGAGTCCTAAAAAAAAGGGGCTTCTGGAGATGAGCCCTACAGAACGTGTGAGAAGTTTGTAATGAGAGGAGCTGAGAGGAGCACAGCGCATTTGCAGAATGACTAGATCCAGGCCTCATGCCTCTGCCTGTGGGGCTGCAGCAATCAGACCAAACACTGGGATCCAACTCTCTGAAACTGCAGACACACAGAAATATTTCTTAGGACCTATCAAGACTTGTTAGGAAAAGCAAGAGGATGAAACAAAACAAAACAAAACAAAACCCCTTTAATGTCTTGTAAGTATAGTATTAAAATTGTGCTTCAAATTCTTAGCTAAATGTCCCTAGAACTCAACAGTCCTTCACACTTGCTTTTCCTCTAACATTAGAACAACTGAGATGCTTAATACTTTCAGGAAAACTCAACTGTGTTAGTCAGTTAATGAAGGATCATTATTTTGTTGTTGTCATTTTACATGTTGAGAGATGTTGAAGCATGCAGCAGCTAGCTTTTTTGCTTCCCGGCGCAGTTTAGAGTCATGGTCCTCCAATGCTTGAATTTTAAGTTTTACTCTGAATGGGGGAGAAAAAAAAAAATCCCATTACATTATTTCATGAGCTGTCACTCGAATGTCTGTTGAAAAGCAAAAACATTTACTCTTGCAAGACACATGAGGGCGCCACAACCAGCCATCAATGCAGGCAGTGTGCAAAAGGTGGTGTGTCAGGGCCAGTGAGGAATCTGCATCTCCTGTGCAGCTGGGGACTGCACAGGCCTCCCGTCCTCCACT